GACAAGACTAATCCCGGGCATTAGGAACCTTGAGTATAGAGACAGGTTAAAGCACCTTAATTTGCACTCCCTCGAGAGACGTAGAGCGAGGGGCGACCTGATAGAGGTGTACAAGTGGAAGGCAGGGCTAAACAAAGGGGACATTACAAAGGTACTCAAACTATCCAACCAGGAGCGAACTCGTAACAATGGTTTTAAATTAGACAAATTTAGATTTAGACGTGAAATAGGTAAACACTGGTTTGGAAACAGAGTAGTGGATGAATGGAACAAGTTACCAAATATCATCATTAACTCGAATACGCTGAATTGCTTCAAACATAGGTTGGATGCTCATATGAGCAATAGGGGTTGGGTGTAAACGGGACTGCCCAGTATGGGCCAATAGGCCCGCTGCAGTTTCCTCCATTCTTATGTTCTTATGAAGCTTCCGCCGACGCTGTCCCTTGGGTTTGTTGGTAGGGCAACACTTGTCATAGTGGCCCAGCGACCGCAGACATTGCACTGGACGTACTTAGCTGGGCACCATCCTGTGAGTGACCAGTGGCCCTTACGGTCACAACTTTTGCATGTAGACTCAGCAGCTGGACACACCTGTGTTCCGTGCTGCTTACCACAGTTGTTACAAAATGAACCGGGCATGGACGTGGTGGGCGAAGGCGTAGGAGCAGACTTCTTGTCCTTCTTGTACCGGGACACAGCGTGTACAACTGTAGGGGGAGCTCGGATGGCAGAGGTGGCACACCTGGCAGCCTCATAGAAGCGACATATCGTCAAAACATCCTTAAGAGAAGAGGAAGAGTCGAGGGAGGTGAGGCGTTGGACAAGTTCCTCGTCCTTAACACCCATCAGGATCACCTGCTTCAACTGGGTCTCCTGGCACTGCTGGTGGTTACCTGGACATATATCTACCTCTTCCGAGGCTCTCTTGAGTCGTACATAAAAGGCTTCAAAAGTCTCACCCTCCATCTGTCTGCAGCTAAACAATTCCCTCCTGCGCAGAGCTTCATTCCGTTGCCCTTTGATGTGTCGTTGTAGAATGTCCAGTACCTCCTCTACAGACAACGACGAGGTCGGAGGTACCTACAACGTATGTTCTAAGACACGCTGAGTTTCCAAGGACAGGCACATACGCAGCTGAATGAGTTGTTTAGGCTGTGACAAACTCTGGAGATCCACCATTGTAGAATAATCAGTCCACCGTCGCCGCCATTCACGAAAAGTCTGGAAATTCACATCAGGCTTCAAGACGGGCGGTGTTTGAGCTGCCGCTTTAGGTGGGGCTGGGGGGCGTGAAGAAAGCGTTGATGAGGTATCCGAACCAGTCAGTACCGAGGCAGTGTTAGAGCCAGGGGGTTGGTTAACAGTGAGGCGAGATATCAAAGCTTCAAACCGTGCACTGTCTTCCAATCTCCGTTGGTGGTCTCTCTCTGCCTCTGCTTGTCTTCTGCGTTCATCCGCCACACGTCTGTAAGCTTCATCCTCGCACCTTTCATCCCTCATGAACTTCATTAAAGCAATTATCTCTGGAGACAACGCTGAATATCGAGGTGAAGGGCTGCGCGATGTTTTGGTAGCTGGGGCGTCATGGTCAGCCTGGTCATCCATCTCTGCGGAGCTATCATCCGACTGACTCATCTGGGCGTTGGCTCCACGACTGCGTAAGGCACGAGACATAATAACTTCATCTGTGTACTGTGTCTTAAATCATTGTTGACCGGTCAGCCCGTCGTATCAACAAGATCTCAGACAAAAAATTAATTAAATACACAGATAAGTAGGTTATATATATAAAATATATATAAGGGAGCCCCCGCGGTCAGTGAGTGTTAGTACATGTATGTGTGTGTGCGCGCGTCTGGGTGGGAGCAGTCTTCTCGAGCTGTGAGGGGGGGTGGAGACGGCGAGGAGCGTCAGTTACCCCTCAGGCAAGACAAGAGGAGGATGTGAAAACTTTACTCCTTACAAATGCCCAGAACATGCCGTGTACCTTGGGAATCCTTTAGAACAAGGTCACACATGAATGGCACGAAACACACAATGCACTAAACACTGCACAGAAAATCACTGTCACTGACACTGCTCAAAGTTGCTAAAAATTCTTCGAGGAGCGGTAGTTGTGAGTTGACGCAGAGAAGGAGGTCCATAGGCTGGCTTTCCACAACTTTGCACTTCACTCATAATTATCCACTAAAACTAGACACTGCGCCATGTTCGTGTTCTGGGTAATAGGTTCTATATACAGGAGCGAACACAAACACCTGTATAGTTTTGTAGGTTCTATTTACTGGATAAAAGATATGTACACAAGGGGAGTAGCGCTCCTCACTCTGTCTGCTGGTCAACTGCTCTCTAGGCGACGTATGGTAAGTGATACATTAACAGCTTCCATATGTCGCTAGGCACATTAATTAGGCATGTGGGACATTAATAAATACATTGCCACACGCTACTAGCTAGGCTGAATAAATAGTATATAAATGGAGCACATACATAATATACATATAGCATACAGAATATACATACACCCCTATACCCCAAAAAGTCCTATGAATACAGATGAGTGGCAACAGGGACAGGCTGCCCACCAAAATTCATCGCCATTTTGAGGCAACTCCACGATGGAATGAATGTCGGTGTCCTGGACAATGGCATCCAGTCTGAGTTCTTCCCATCCGAACAAAGGGAAAAACAAGGATGTGTACTGGCACCAAATCTCTCTTCCATTTTCTTGGTAACCTTCCTTACTCATGCCAGTGCCAATCCAGCCGGAGGGGTTGACAACCATTACTGGATTAAGGGACTTTTCAACATAAGACGAATCCATGCTGGAACAAAGGTGTTGGCAGCTTCCATTACTGAACTTCATTATGCAGACGACCTCACATTCGTTGCTCACACTTTACGCGACCTACAGGAGATCCTGAATACGCAGATGTGTATGCACATTTCGGCCTTGAGGTGAATGTACGGAAGACATATTCTCTCAGCCTGCCCCAGGTTCAACCACACCTCCAATGTCCACCACCCATCCACCTTAACGGTACTACCCTCTCTAATGTTACCCACTTTCAATATCTCGGCTCTCACCTGTCCACTTCTGCGGGTATCGTTGATGAAATTCAACATCGGATCAGATGTGCATCTCAAGCCCTTGGAATATTCAGTACCTGTGTCTTCAGCTGTAGGGAACTGAAATTATGTACAAAGTTGCACGTATATCGAGCAGTGGTCCTTCCCACACTGCTATATGGCAGCGAGACATGGGTCACAAACTTTTGGCACTTGAAAACCTTCGCCAACATAGTCTACGTTTCATCCACCGAGTTCGCTGGGAAGACAAGGGAACAAATATCAGTATTCTCGCTGACACCAACTGTAGTAGCATCGAGGCTACCTTTATCCATGAAGAACTACATTGGATTGGCCATGTTATTCGCATGGTCGACAGTAGACTGCTAAAACAGCTACTTTACAGTCACCTAACGAATGGTAAACGTAACTATGCTGGCGGTCAACGGAAAAGGCATAAGAATAGCCTATAGACAAACCTGAAAAAGTGCCAAATCGACCCTCTCACCTTGGAGACAATCACTCCACACTGTAACGCTTGGATAAACACCACACGAGAAGATGTCAATACTTTCGAATTAGCCTGACTGCATACCAAGGCAGACAAGCTCCAGCACCGGAAAGATGCTGCCGCTGCCCTTCTCCCACTAGCTGTAGCCCTCCACACGTGTCATATCTGTGGACGACCCTGTCCGTCCCGTATCGGCCTCTCGAGTCACCTCAGAGCTCACCAATGAAGGTGACGTCTTAAATAACTCATATCATTGTATCATAGCTGGATGATCATCATACTCGATTCCGAGTGACAGCAAAGTAGTGTGTGTGTGTGTGTGTGTGTTGAGGTAGTCCATTGTATAACTGAAAGAAATGTTCAATAAATGCGTGACGGTGACAGGATGTATCCTAGTGTAGTTTAGGGTGTGACGGTGGTAGGATGTATCAGGGTGTAGCTCAGGGTGTGATGGTAGCATTTTGTGTCGGGGTGTAGTTCAGGGTGTGATGGTAGCATTATGTGTCAGGGTGTAGTTCAGGGTGTGATGGTAGCATTTTGTGTCGGGGTGTAGTTCTGGGTGTGATGGTAGCATTATGTGTCAGGGTTTAGTTCAGAGTGTGACGGTGGCAGGATGTATCGGTGTAATTCAGGGTGTGATGGTAGCATTATGTGATGGTGGCAGGATGTATCAGGGAGTTATTTATCCTTATGCTTATCTCAGGAATACAATCCCCTGAATTATGAAATGTATTTACAAAACACCCTGTATAAATATAGGCCACTGCAATCGATCGCGTTCGTTTCCTTTCCTGTAAACTGGAGGTATCCATTTACTGCTAGGTGAACTGGAAGCATCTGAGGTGTCGTACCACTGACCCTCGAAACAAGAAGTGAGTGCAGTATCCTTTACATCGTCGCACTCATATTACCAAATAACACCATTAAAGAAATTACTGTATGAAGTTTCCATTATCGGTTGAATAGATTCATGAGTGATAATGGCTGGATGTACAGTGAAGTTGCTTCGCATTGGCCATTATTGACCTACTTCAGTTTCTTGTAATCTTAAGGTCCATAAAACATTAATAAACTTACAATGTAATTTGATATTTTTATACTACTTTATACAAGATGTGATGTGAAAGATTTTGTTACAACACGAGACAAGTCCACTAGTTTTTAAATGATTTAGAAATGACATTTAACATTAATTTGCATAGTAATTTTTGTAAGCGATATTGAAAACATGAAATACTTATTTAAGAAGCATAATACCTCATTAATGATCGGTGAATGACTTGAACGTCCGATATAGTTCAGATGCGCAGAGGCGGAAAAAATACTCGTGATTGGGACTAGCTGCTTATCATTTCTCATGGCTCAATATCACAGCGACTGGCTCGTGGGACTTCCCGCAGTCACTGCGACGTGACAGTGTCAGCCCAGAGGTCAGTCTGTTAAGGCGCCCGCGACTCTTAGTTGGTGTGCGTCGCGTACATTACCTCCCCACCTGTAAGACTTAAGTTAGAATTAGGCTCAATATGAAGATTTTTCATGGGAGATCTGTGATACTGTGCTTGTTGTTGTTGCTGCTGCCGCACGTACCCGGGGATATCACCTTTGATAAATACCGAAGAGCCCTGCACGTCGAGCAGAAGACAGTTAGCGGGGTATTTAGTCTCTTTACAGAGGCTGGATGGTTGAGGTTAGTGTCTCCTGATAGTTTTGATGTGTAAGACAAAACCCTTTTATCTAACGTCATTCATTGTATTTACTTAAAGTAAATACACAGTAAAATTATGCATACATACAGTATATTAGGTATGTATACAGTACACACACACACACATATATATATATATATATATATATATATATATATATATATATATATATATATATATATATATATATATATATATATATATATATATATATATATATATACAGAGGATGGTGAGACCAGGTCCACAATGGTCAGGTATTAGGTAATGACCCTACTAATCTTTAAATAGCACACAACGGTTGGTGGTCAGGTCAGATGGTCAGGTGACCCGGCCTTCTCACCTGGTCACAAATCTTCTTAATTACATAATTGTCCAGCTTGTACATGCCGTTACTCAAATTCATGTTGAATGCTTCGGTATGTTTAATAAGACTAGATTCTATGATGTTCCTACTATTAATTGAATTACATGGTAATATTGAGGAGGCATTATCCCAGTCCATCTGACCTGACCACCAACCGTTGTGTGCTATTTAAAGATTAGTAGGGTCATTACCTAATACCTGACCATTGTGGACCTGGTCTCACCCTCCTCTGTATATATACACCTTGATTTGTATTTCTCTCTCTAGTCTGTACTCACCCCTGAAGATGTGAACTACACGAAAGCGCTTGGGAACTTCGTGTTTTTTTCTTTCCTTGTGGTTATCAGCATATACCTAGATCACGCGCACCTACAGTGATTTACTTGCATATATATATATATATATATATATATATATATATATATATATATATATATATATATATATATATATATATATATATATATATATGTATATATGTATGTACAAACTGGACAATTTTGTAATTAAGAAGATTTGTAACCAGGTGAGAAGGTTGGCCCACCTTACCCTCTGACCTGACTACCAACCGTTGTGTGCTATTTAAAGATTAGTAGGGTCATTACCTAATACCTGACCATTGTGGACCTGATCTCACCCTCCTCTGTATATATATATACCTTGTTTTGTACTTCTCCTTAGTCTGTACTCACCCCTGAATTTCGTGTTTTCTTCTTTCCTTGTGGTTATCAGCATATATATATATATATATATATATATATATATATATATATATATATATATATATATATATATATATATATATATATATATATATATATATATATATATATATGGGTAATTCCAGCCGATGAGCGATAACTTCTGTGATTTTCTTTTGTTGTCAACTTCTGACTGGCCATAAACGATCATGAAGATCATAAAAATGCATATAAATAAATAGATGAATAAATGAGTAGTGTATGTGTGTGTGTTTGATGAACAGAAATTGCGATATAGTTCACGAATTAATTTCTTAAAAAATTATCCAATATTCAGTAGATTATAAATGTTGAGGAATTTTTCGATATACTCTTGAGGAACCATATGGAAAGAAAGGTAATAGTATAAAAGGAACAAAAATAAATATATATTAAATATATGACGGAATGGGTGAAAAGAAATTTACTAAGTGAATATATGGAAAGTTTTGTTAAAGAATATGAAAATATCTAAAGCTCAATATTTGGTCAGGTTGAAAGGAATACATCATACAATAACGATCTGACCAGAATATGGAACAATCATAAGTTACGAAGCTTTCATTAACGAAGTAATTTTTTTATGTATGTACAATGTACAGTATGTGCGTTTGTTCTTTTATTTGTTTTACAATACATCTTTAATCTCATTTCGACGAATCCTTCCACAGATGTTCTTCCATGTGTAGCAAGAATGGGTGTGTGTCGTGGTCCCTGGACAAAACTACTCGGGAGTGTCGGGTATACTCCATGCTCCATCCTTCACTTTCAACCCCATCTCCCTCCCTCAACACCTACTTTCCCGTGGGCTCAAATTCCGCCAGACTCGCTTTCAGATCCCAGAGCAGTGCTGGCTGGACCTGGAACGATGCCTTAGCAGCCTGTGAGTCTGTAGGAGTTACTCTGGCTTACATATCCGATCGGATCGAGGGACAGACGTTGATAACTAAATATGGGGTTAAAGCTCTCTACATCGGCCTCCACCAGGTAGGTTCTCTGTCCCACTGTTTTGTGGCCATATGCACTTGTGGTCCTGTTAATATTTTTGTTCATTAACGTATGCTCTATTATCAACTGGAGTGTATGAAACGTCTATAATCACCCCAGAAAATGCTCAACCTTATCCACAAATTTTTAGTTAAATTTCAATGAAACGAAGTGAGGAGCAATTAAATTATTTTCTTTCATCATTAAATCAATTTGTAAGTGAAACGTCTGTCTGCATTATCTATTCCACTTCCACAAACAGCTCTACTGTACATTACGTTGCGGTACGCCTATTCCACTGATATACCCGCGGGCCAAGTGCTCTTCCCTCTTTTTTTTTTTTTTTTTTTTTACAGGATTAGCCCACCAGGGCAGAGGTCAATGATCTACATCAGGGCCTGGGGGTGAAAATATAGTAATAATAATGATGATAATAATAATAAATGATAATAATAATTAATTTTGATTAATAAAAAAATAATATTAAATACAAATATGATATTATAGTAATAATAAAGGACCATTAATAAATCCAATATTAAAAAACAAAAACAGAAAGAAACAATACGGTCAGACGCCGGCGAGCTCACTGATAACGACAGAGAAATGAGCAATAATTTGAATAAATATTTTCCAACAGTTTTCACCACCGAAAATTTAAACATGATACCCGAGGCACCGACTCTATTCAGAGATAGTGAAGAAAACAAATTAAGCGAGATAGTAGTGACTAGTAACGATGTTAGTAAGCAAATAGACAAACTAAAGCCTAATAAGTCACCTGGTCCGGATGAGATATTTGCCAGAGTATTAAAGGAATGTAAGGAAGAGCTTAGTATTCCCTTAGCAAAGTTGTTTAACATGTCCTTAAAAACAGGTGTAGTACCAGAATTCTGGAGGATAGCGAATGTAATACCGATTTTCAAGTAGGGGGATAGATCACTATCCTCCAACTACCGCCCAATCAGTCTAACATCAATAGTAGGCAAATTACTGGAAGCAATCATTTCAAACTCTATTCGAAATCACCTGGAGAAGCACCGATTGATCAATGATTCCCAGCATGGCTTCACAAGCGGACGTTCTTGTCTAACAAATCTATTAACATTCTTTCCATCATTTTTCGAATCGGTGAACGAGGGGCACAATTATGATGTGGTATATCTCGACTTTAGCAAAGCCTTCGACAGAGTCCCTCACGAAAGATTAATTAGAAAGGTAGAAGCTCATGGCATCAAAGGTAACATCCTTAAATGGATTAGGGCGTGGTTACAGGACAGGAAACAGCGAGTGAGCATTAACGGCACTAAGTCCCATTGGAGCAACGTCACAAGTGGAGTTCCCCAAGGCTCAGTACTTGGACCATTATTATTTATTATATACATAAACGACATAGATATCGGCATAGACAGCAACATAAGTAAATTTGCTGATGACACTAAAATAGGACGTGTTATTAAATCTGACGAGGACTCAGCAAAACTACAGGAAGATTTAAACAAATTTTTCGAATGGTCTGAAAAATGGCAGATGAAATTCAACGTGGACAAATGTAAAGTACTCAGAATAGGAGATGTAAACAGGGAAACCAGATACCAGATGAACAACGATGCCATAGAGAAATCCGACTGCGAGAGAGATTTGGGAGTAATGATAAGTAGGAACCTTAAGCCAAGTAAACAATGTGTTTTTGCTCGTAACAAGGCTAATAAAGTACTTGGGTTCATACAAAGGAGTGTTAGTTACAAGACTAGCGAGGTCATCCTAAAACTGTATCTTGCTCTTGTGAGACCACACCTGGATTACGCAGTTCAGTTCTGGTCACCGTATTACAGAATGGATATAGAATCCTTGGAAAGAATTCAGAGGAGAATGACAAGACTAATCCCGGGCATTAGGAACCTTGAGTATAGAGACAGGTTAAAGCATCTTAATTTGCACTCCCTCGAGAGACGTAGAGCGAGGGGCGACCTGATAGAGGTGTACAAGTGGAAGGCAGGGCTAAACAAAGGGGACATTACAAAGGTACTCAAACTATCCAACCAGGAGCGAACTCGTAACAATGGTTTTAAATTAGACAAATTTAGATTTAGGCGGGAAATAGGTAAACACTGGTTTGGAAACAGAGTGGTGGATGAATGGAACAAGTTACCAAATATCATCATTAACTCGAATACGCTGAATAGCTTCAAACATAGGTTGGATGCTTATATGAGCAATAGGGGTTGGGTGTAAACGGGACTGCCCAGAATGGGCCAATAGGTCCGCTGCAGTTTCCTCCATTCTTATGTTCTTATGTTCTTAATATATGTAAGCTGTGTTGTCAAGTAAGAGAAACAATTGAGACCCTGCAACTGTGTGTAAATGAGACAAAAAGTCAGATCAACAACCTGGGACTTGGTCACACAAGAACATAAGAAAATAAGGAGTCAGCAATAGGCCGGTTGGCCTGTGCATGGCAGCTCCTGTCGAGAGTTACTACCACTCTCTATCATCCATGAATCTATGTAGCCTCCTTTTGAAACTTTCCAGAGTTCCCGCACTTACTACAAAGTTGCTAAGCTTGTTCCACTCGTCCACCACCCTATTTGTGAACCAGTTTCTTCCTATCTCCCTCCTAAACCTAAACTTATCCAACTTGAATCCGTTGCTCCGAGTCCTATCCTGCTCGGATATTATAAGAACTATATCTATATCCCCTTTATTGATTCCTTTCACCCACTTAAATACTTCTATCATATCTCCCCGCACTCTTCGTCTTTCTAGGGAATGCAAGTTAAGTTTCTTTAACCTATCCTGATATGGAAGGTTTCTAAGTCCCGAAATCATTTTTGTCATTCTTCGCTGCACCGACTCTAGTGAATTTATATCCATTCTATAATAGGGGTACCAGAACTGAACCGCATAATCGAGGTGCGGCCTGACTAGCGCAAGATATAGTTGCAATAAGACCTCTGCACTCTTGTTACTTACACTTCTAGATATAAAACCCAATACTCTGTTTGCCTTATTTTGAACATTAAAGCACTGTTTTCTAGGCCGTAGGTCCGGGCTTACAAGTTCCCCTAGGTCTCTTTCACAAGTCGACTTCTCTAGGTTGATGTTGTTAAGGCTGTATACATTATAAGTATTTGTTCTTCCAATATTAAGTTCGCTGCACTTGCTGGTGTTGAGTTTCATTTGCCATTTTTCAGACCACCCCTAAAGTATATTTAGATCCTCCTGTAATGCATTTGCACCCTGCCCTGAATTAATTTGCCGCCCTATTTTGGTGTCATCCGCAAACTTGCTTATGTCACTGCTGATCCCAGTATCTAGATCGTTTATGTAGATTATGAACAAGAGTGGGCCTAGTACTGACCTCTGGGGAACCCCACTGGTTACACGGCCCCACTCAGATTTTACACCATCTACGCTGACCCTCTGCGTCACAATTTTTGTGATACCATATGGCAGCAGGGTCTACCATTAGACAATAAATTATGCTTCCAATATCTTCCCAGGCAGTAGTACCTCCCTGTTTGATAGCTGCCTACTACCTATTACTTTATATTATTACACATTTCATCATAGGTACGAGTATTCCATGTGTATGTTATCACAACAGATTTTCGTCCATTTTTGTATGTAAGAACCTCTTAACTAACTCAGTAAATGCACTTATATCCCTTCTTTCTATCATATATTTTTCTAAATTCCTGAGATAAATCCTATTTCAATTATTTCCATTTCATTGTGTTCAATTATATAAAAAGACTTGTGTTTTGGAAGGTGAGATCTTCATACCCATGATAAGACGTCACTTCAAACACTTCTTCGTGAACATCCCACAATGCAATTTTTTACTGTTTTACCTGGCTCTAATGGCACTCCTATTCTTCTTTGCAATAATATTTATTTTCAATTTTTTTTGCTCTCAAACACTTCAAACAGGACCAAACACTTCAAAATTGGTGTATCAGTGCTCGTTCTTCTCTTTTCAAGGTGATCTGAGGTTCAGTTGGACTATTTCGCTTAAACACAAAATTTTCGGCTTGTCCTACATTCTTTAACTCCGTTGAAAGAAAATTCTTACCTTCCCTGTCCCATCACACACACTGGGATAATGTTACTCCGACTACACAGTTAGCACGGGTAATCCCCAAATGAGGTTCACATTGCTTAACAAAGACGATTGAACAGGCCAGACAGGTAAAGATCTTGTAACTAGGCTTAAACAACATAAATATAGTGTTAGGACAGGCCAGGAATCCAATGCTCAGTTTGTTCTTCTGAGGGATAATAAGCATTGCATTGACTGGGATAATGCCTCCTCAATATTACCTTGTAATTCAATTGACAGTAGGAACATTATAGAATCTAGTCTCATTAAACATACCGAAGCAGTCAACATGAATTTGAGTAATGGCATGTACAAACTGGACAATTTTGTAATTAAGAAGATTTGTAACCAGGTGAGAAGGTTGGGTCACCTTACCCTCTGACCTGACTACCGACCGTTGCGGTGCTTTTTAAAGATTAGTAGGGTCATTACCTAATACCTGACCATTGTGGACCTGATCTCACCCTCCTCTGTATATATACACCTTGTTTTGTACTTCTCCTTAGTCTGTACTCACCCCTGAAGATGTGAATTACACGAAAGCGCTTGGGAACTTCGTGTTTTCTTCTTTCCTTGTGGTTATCAGCAAATACCTAGATCACGCGCACCTACAGTGATTTACTTGCATATATATATATATATATATATATATATATATATATATATATATATATATATATATATATATATATATATATATATATATATATATATATATATATACACCCCATGTGCTTCTCTATGGCTTACTTCGCACCCGCTAAAGGTTCAGAATTTGATGCACGCAAATTCTTTCTTCCCTGTAATTTCTCTGGCCCATACCATTGAGTTAGCTTTTTCACAGCGCTTATGAAAACTTTAACAAACTTTCCCTAAACTCCGCTCAAAACAACTCATGAATTCACTTGTAATTTTCTTTCTGCATGCCAACAGATTGACGAGCCATGAAATCCATTATTCCATTTCTATTGATTTAAGCTTCCAAAACGCTTACAAATAATAACGTAGCTGACGTGGTCAACTATCCAACTCTATACAACCCCTTGCAATTTACTACACGCCACTTGTATTTTAATAGAGGAATTGATTTTATCAGGAAAGCTAATAGTGTGAGGTGTTCAGGCTTTTTGGAGGGTTTGACACACCCTGCCCCAGTAATCGTGAGCTGGAGACAGGTTTATTTTGTTCATGCTGTTGTTTGTTTTCCCTGCCCCGAGTCTTTTTGCACCCAACATAACAGAACTAACCATAAAAAAGTGTTACCATTACACTTGCGGCTCAGTGATTCTCTTTGACATATACTAACTACCAACACACATCGCACAATACTCTGCATTACCTCGAGCTATATATCTAGAATAAGAGTGTAACGCTATTGAGTATTTATTGTTATAGACGATAAACTTATTTTGCATGCTCATATTACTCTTATTATGATCGGAATTATATCAATTATTTATTTTAACGCCACCCTTATTGACGGTTGTCGTCCAAATGAATGATAAAGATGCCAATCTCTTTCCTTTTGTTTGTGTGTGTCTTATCGTGCAGAACATAAATATTAGGTCAAGAATTCTCATAGTTAACGTGAATACCTCCTTCAGGAAAACCAAGGTCATGCAGAAACATGAGGTTACTGATTGGCCGTGTGCAGACGATTAGCTTTCCTTGGTGTGCTACCACCCTTAATATGCAAAAGACACTATTGATACAGGTACGAAATACAAATTTTAATTTTAATTTTGCTCTTGCCAGGAAGGTGATGAGGAGGTGGACTGGCACGACATGTACGGCAACTTAGTGCAGAACCCTGACTGGAGGAGTGACCAACCTAACGATCCTGACGACACCCAGGACTGTGGTATCCTCTTCGATGACGGAGTCCAGGACAAGCGTTGCACTGAGGTCTTCGACGCCGTAGGCATCTGCACCAGCGCCACACCCTAACTTATACAGTACTCTGATCCAACCCATGACCAATGCATCCATGAGCCACTCACTAATGAGCCATGCGCTGGTGAGCCACGTACCTATGATCCACTCACTGATGATCCGTCCTACGTCATGTACGGATCCAAACCACGATTCACATTAACATCACCTACAAAATATAATTACACCTGTGATCCAGACTGTAACCGTATTACCACCTGAATTGTAGATATGCATACCTGCTACTCATAAAGCTGGAATGAAATTATCATAACAGTGACAAATCATCCTGATGAGAAGGACAAGAGAGTCAGAGACCAGCCACGGGTACTGATTTGACTGCAGCTTACCGTACTGTCAGGGTGGAATCTGTTTATAAACATTGAAAATGGCAAATGCTGAAATGGAAACCAAGTTTTTTCACAATGAGTTGATAGACACACGTATCGCATCTGTTTTGGAACTATAGCTGGAAAAGAAAGACACTGACACTCACAGACAGACACGTCATCAATAGAAATACTAAGGTGCTCAACCTTGGAACCCATGTAATATGCGTGTGATTAAAGTTTGAGGGCCCAGATTCACTAACCACTTACGGTCCCCGTAAGTCCCCACGATCACCCTTAAGGCTGAACAGGTGATTCAATAACAATTTATGGTGACCGTAACCCAACTTATCGTACATCAAAATTTACGGTGGTCACAGAGCATCCTTAAGCTTCCTCAAGGCGGAAAGAAGGTTACATAGAGTAAGTACCGTTTTCTCTACTACACAACTCGTACCACGACACACACACACACAGCTGCCAGAAGAACTTCAGGCGTCAGTAGTAAGAGTGAAGCGGTGAAGATGGAATTAATGATGGATTTTGCTCATGACCATGCACTCTGGGTGGGGTCAATCGCTGGTCAGAATTCCAACCCTGACCCTACGTAGAACAGGGTCGCATGTATATGGACTATTGAGATATATTGGTAGCCTTGTGCTTCTAGGATAGGAGTCTGTAAAATGCTACTCCGACCACATAGTTAGCAAGGGTTATCCCAGGCGGAGGCTTCCGTTGCATTGAAAATAAGACAAAGGAGCAGGCTTTGTGTGAAATACAACAATGCCTAGGATAGTTTTTGTTGCCTTTTGTGATGCCGTGGTAGCGCTCCCTGTTCACATATAGAGGTCCCGGGTTAGATTCCTGACTAGTGAGGTATTGTTTGTTTGTTTGTATATTGAAGTCTATGTGTATATATATATATATATATATATATATATATATATATATATATATATATATATATATATATATATATATATATATATATATATATATATATATATATATATATATATATATATATATATCTCACTCTCCTCTACTGTATATATTAGCCTTGTCAAGTATTTCTCCTTAGTCTGTACACACCCCTGAAGATGTAAATTACACGAAAGCGCTTGGGAACTTCTTGTTTTCTTGTGGTTATCAGCATATACTTGGATCACGTTGCACCTACAGTGATTTACTTGCACACAAAGCCTGTTCAACGAGCCTATGGCACCGTGAACCTCTAATGGGGACTACCCGTGCCTCTTAGGTGATCAAAGTAACGTTCTACCAAATCTGGCTTCGAAACAGGCTTTTTGTGAAATATAACAGAGTCTAGGACTTCTTTTAGTGTCCTGGTGGCCCAGAGGTAACGTTCCCGGTCACAGTCATAGGATCGTGGGTTCGAATCCTGGCGGGGTGAGGTGTTGATTATATGTAGAAGTCCGTGTGCTTTATTGGGCTAATAAAAAAAAAAAAAAAAAAAAATATATATATATATATATATATATATATATATATATATATTATTATTATTATTATTATTATGTATGCTGTGTTGTCAATAGTAGGTGAAACAATATGAGACCCTGCAATTGTGTGTAAATGAGACAGAAATTCAGATTAGCAGCCTGGGACTTGGAACAAAATTTTTGCGATACCCTATGACAGCAGGGTCTACTGAACGTATCTGTTAAGAATAATCTAAGCTGACAGGAAAACAAATGAAGAAGTAGTAAGATTATCCATCGCGATGTTGCCACTAATGCAGCCCAGGTAGTGACACAGATGCTAAATGTTCCCCAGGTGGAAAAAGACACAGAAAAATAGTTGCTGCAAAGGCTGTGTCTCAACTATTGGAATTATTGCAAATAAAATCTGGAGCTGTTGGCATGTGTTTCGACGCTTCTACTGCGAAAACTGGAAAACACTTTAGAATTTGTATATTGCTGGGAGGAGGTATTTTGGGGCGGCCACTTCTCTGGTTGGCTTATCTACACCGTATGTTGGAGGTGCTCCTGTCTGATGCCTTAAGGATCTGTTTCAGCCCATCATCTGGACCTGATATTCAAGGTTTCAAGAGGTCTAAGTATGATTTGCCAAAACTTCAGCCACTATCAGGGCATTGATAACCTAGCAACTGACCAACAGTAATAAACAGCTACGAGAGGACTACCTAGAATTCTTGCAGCTTACAGGTCGCTCCACTGGTTTAACAGTTGCAGTTAGTATAAGGAAACCTGAAGCCATCTATCAGGCATGGTGGATTCTACAGCCTTAAAATTGAACTGCTTTTTGAAGGCAACGCAAACAACGTTCTCATTATGCCACGAGGGTTACAAGCAATGCATCGGTCCAACCACTTTATGCACTACTTCTGCATTGAATCCTAACCAAACCAAAATATCTTGTACACCTCACGCTATAGTAGCACAAAGGTAACATTATGCTCACAGAAATATTTTTCTTCAGTAAATTAAAATTAAAATTAACTTTAGATTACTTGTCACAAATGTCGTATTGACATTAACCCTTATAGTGGGGCAGCTAAATGCAATTTGTCAAGAGAATCATGCAAATGGTGATACAAGCGCCAAATTTGGCATAATAATTCTCAAATGGTTACTAGACAAGTCTGCCTCATTGGCCATTTGAAAATCCAAGATGGCGGCCATTTTTAAAGATGGCAGCCATATTGACCTTCAAAAGTTGATTTTTCTTATAAAAACTGATGTAATTGGTCAGTCTGAGTGATCTTGGTGTCGATATGTATGTTTTCAAGCATGTTCAGATGATTTTTTATAGTTTTAAGTCCACTGTAGCATTTTTATCCACATAATATAACACTTTTATTAAAAACAAAAAATACTAAAAAAAGTACTCTCTTAGCACTGGTTCCTGTGACTTCTCCTGACAGTACATCTTTGTGCATTTACTGCTGTTCACATATGCAGCTGCAAAGTGCTGTGCAGGAAAGTCCAGAGCGAGCATTTGCATCTCTGGTTGCAGTCCTTCTTACACTAATATATGGTCAGCTCCTGACAGCATGTCGTAATCGGGGGAAGAGTCGTCCAACGTATCTCCTATGCTTCTCCCTTCTGCGTCCATCCCCAGTTATTAGGACTGCTGGTTTCTGGATTGGAGATTGTTGCCTGGTCCCAGAAGACACCAGCCTGGTAGGCAACCCGGTTTGCATGGTGTTCATGAGGGCTGCCTGGGTTGGTGGAATAGAGGTCATATGGTCTCTGATTGCGGGAAAAAGAGATTTAGTCTTGCCTCATCTACCCAATGGCTGCACTAGATCTGTCGTACATGAGGACAACAAATCTTCCAGCTTCTGCAGGTCAACATCAGCAACTGTTGTTGGACATTGGCTGGGTGGTGAATGTTTCTGAAACGTCATCACAGACATTCCATGTATGCCATGCAGATTTCTTTCCTTTTCCCACGGAAGCCAGACACAACGTCACAGCCAATGAAAGCATGAAAGTATAGGATCCACTAGCTTTCTTAGGCCCTATCGCAGAAACTTCACATCATGAACTGGAATCCATCGACATTTGGCTCCTTGGCCAAAGGCCATCCATATATTATCTAGACCAGCTCCTGTAGTGATGGCATTATAGATACTGCTAGAGCGACCACGTCAGTGTCAATATGGCTTTGATGTTGGACTTGCTACCTTCCATGGCTGCATCCTAGCATGCACAAATATTCGTGTGTCTGCTTCCTCATGACAGCATGGAGCCACAGCTTCTAGGGACTTCTCTGTGTTGCTAATGGCATCTTCTCCCTTTGTCCACAACCACCGTGCTTGTCGTCACGTGCTTCACACATTTTCTTCGCGAAAAAATGGAATAGTTCTCTGTCTTGTTTATGTCATCTCGCAAGAAAGCTTCTCAGTTTTGGGAGTCTCTTACTGGTTCCTGTAACTCTTCTCCTGATCCCTGTCCTCGTTTCGACCTGGCTTCACACTTCAGACTTGACTTTTTTTGTGCACATCAAACACTACATCCACCCTATTGTAATTGGCACCATAAATTCCCACTTTGGGAGGATATCTTCTCTGGCATAGGCATCAAAAAGCCTTTGAGGTGGGCGGAGACAGGGCATTGATCAATGCTAAGACATCTATGATGATAGCATCTCCCATGTGGATTCTCTCTAGCATTCACTTGTTGCTTTGGGGTCTCTGACCATTCATTGGTATCTTGCTACTGCTGCTCTCCTCTGTAGCAACTGCATGAGTTCGCCTTTTTCTGACTCTATTTAACTTTGTGATGCTGGGGCAGAGTGCAACTCTCATGATACTGTGCCTTGTTTATCCTCAAGGTCTCCTTTATCCCATCATGCTTCAACAAGTCTTGCAGGGTCAAGCGATTGGCAGTGCATTTATTGAATGAAATAAGGAATATTCCTTGCTTACTTAAGCTCCTTGTAGCAAATCATCTCAGCACGGCAGGATTTGTATGTGGAGACTTAAAATCTTCCTTCTTATCCTGTTGACAAAGACAACACTTTTGCCCAGTCAGTGAGGAATGATCTGTTGGTAGATTTTGTATCATAACTATTTTGATCTTCCAGGGCCCGAGGGTTTATCAACACACCCACCCTGATAGGCACTTTCTTGTATGGGATACATCTGGGTTGTACGCACGCCCCTACACCCTGGTCCGATCGTTCATCAGTGTCGTTAGTCCCGTGCGATCTGTACACCATCCAGATAACTAAAACCCCGTTACATCGCTTGGCTCGGCTCTCCGCGCTGGCATCCTGTCAATTCAGGTGCGGCTGCTGGTGGTGGGGTTGGTTAAGCAGCATTTGGGACACTAAGCTGTTGCAGTATGACATGCTTTTTCTTAGCTGACACTGAACCCCATGCTGGGTTGCACAGCAGTGATGTCACCAGTGTGCTCTCGTAGTGCCCGACAATCACTCCCTCACATGCAGAGACTCTCTGCATGCTACCCTCACCTAGTTGGAAAATGATAAACCAGTACATAAAACCAGTCGTAAATAAGACAAATATATATCTGAGAGTATCAGAAATATAAAAAAAATCATCTGGGCATGCTTTAAAACATACATTTCGACACTAAGATCATTTAGATTAACCAACTACATCAATTTCTATAAAAGAAAATCATCTTTCGAAGGTCAATTTGGCAGCCATCTTGAAAAATGGTCGCCATCTTGGATTTCCAAATGGCCTATCAGGCAGATTTGACAAGTAGCCTAGGGTATGATCATGCTAAATTTCATGTTTGTATCACCATTTGCACGATTTTTCCATTATCCGCTCTACTATTAGTTACGTTCTCTTGCATGGTGACCTAATGACACGTCTCATGCTACTGCCTTCAAACAGTCCAAAAAGAAACATGTTTCATCGTTTGCTGTCAAACTTCAAAGGTATTGGTCCC